GTACCATACAGTGGACATTTACACTTACTGTACAGTACTTGCAATTGTTTTAATAGGGATGGGGATGATCTCTGTAAAAAGAATACTGAAATAGTTTTTTTGATAAATATATTTGAAAATGTTCCTGTTGGATACCCAACACTTTCTGGGTAACAATCTCCTCATCATTAATCACAACATACTGTGCCATATTATATAAGACATCCTGTTATTGACCTTTGGCTGTTGGATGTATCATGAAATAAATAAATAAATAAATATTATTATTACCAGACTATGCCACCGTAATTAGCAGATACTGTGTTTTTGAGCAAGTCCGTTCAAAAGAATCTCTACGCCCTCATGTTGCATTAAATACATAAAAAAATATGTCTATTGTATTTACAAACTAGAATGCCTCAGCTCCAGGGATACTTTGCTTCTGACCACCACTGGAGCTCTCCCCCTGAACTCCCCAAGGTGTACCCGCCTGTTAGGAATCCTGCTACCAGGCCGAACTGCGAACCACTACTTTGCTGTGGAATAAACATACATAATTACAATGACGTGTATAATTTAAATCATACACTTTTTGAAATCTATTAATCTGTAAACAAACAAGTACTGCAAGCATAATATGCTGCTTCAAATCTCTCTTGTTCATGTGTGGCCCTAAAGAGGGCCTAGAAAAAAAATATAACAAAACACAGTTGAAAGTAGAAGATTGGTTTGGTAGACTTGTGTTGTGGATCATCATAGACTGGTACTGTATAGGTGTCTTCGTAATTCATAACGATGGTCTGATAGCTGCTGGCCTTCATGTTGATTTACTTTCTCTGGATACGATCGTATTTGGGTTGTTTGATTAAATTTTATACAAACTTTTAAATATTTTGGCACATTTAAAATTTAATTTTGAATATTACGTAATTTTTGGCTTCCATGTAAATTCTTACAAAATCTTTTCTTATTGATTATACAATTTTTGGAATATTGTGAATATAATCTATACAAGATTAATTAAAATACTGTGATTTATATTATCAAAGCAAGGTTTATCCATGTTTCATATAGTACGGAAACACAATTTAGACTTCCCACTTAGGCGAAGTTTAAAAACTGACTGGCTACTACATTTAAATACTGAAAAAAAGCCTATATCAAGTAAATGGGGGTATTGCTATTGTTTGACTTATTCTAGGTCTATAAAATCATAATGGACCCTCTCCCACCCTACTGAAACACAATTTAGACTTCCCATTAGTGAAATAAAATAAACTGACAGGTCACGATTTCATTTAAATATTTAAAAAAAACCCCCTATAATATCAACTGGGGTATTGCTATCAATTGTCAGTTGACTTATTCTAGGTCTTTAAAATCATAATGGTTCCTCCAGGCTCCCCTAATCTAGCCACCCACCTCCCTCTTAATTTGTTACGTATCCAATCAACAGCCATATATTATTGCTAGACCTAAACCATTCCTTTCCATATTTATGAGATCCAGAAGAAAATATTGAGAGAACAACAGAAAAGAGTTGATAGTGTACGAGTTTCCTACAAGCTACATGGTTCTAACTACAGCACAAGAGGAGAATGACAATTTGCACAGAAAAAAAATCCTATCTAAATCTTAACTATCATAAAAGAACTATTTAGCACAAAAATTTTGAAAAGTTGGAGAACTTGAAGCTTTCAAATTATTGCACATTCTACCCACCCACACCCAATATGGAATAACATACAAAATAATCCTATACAAAGGCATTACCTTTAGTTAGTGACACCATCCTTAATTTTGACCTTGACTAAATTTGCTATACCTAGCCCAGAGACAAAATATACTATGCCTTTTAACTTTCAAGGTAAAAAGCACCACATAATAATAATTAAGTACTGTAAAATTCCACGCGAAATTTTCTTATACTTTGCACTTTCATTGTTTGTTATTCCACAATGCTGCAGATCTTATAAATATCATAATACTGCAATTTTACTTAATATCTGTGCAAACTTCTTTCCAGCTTCAAATTCTTTATCATCTTAGCTTATAATACAACCAATTGCTGGTTTATTTTCAAATACTTACAGTATACAAAAATACTACATCTTAACTTGGTCCTATAAAACTTTTTACACTACAAATGTACAATTTTTGGAAGCCAAAAACCGAATTTGTCCATGATATATTCATGTTCGCGTGACACCATTGGAATGGTTGCAAATATTGATATTCAGTGTGAACATATTTTGAGTTGTCACATTTGGCCAAGAGTTTATGAAGCAACTTTAAGCATTGTTTTCAAGCTGTTCTCCATTTGTCTGAAAGACACTGGTGAATTTGGTACCATAGAGCACCGCTGTACCCAGCCTACAGGTGGAGATGGCAGACAATCAGGAGGCGGAGCTTCACTGAATTTTGCCCCAGCATACGATGGCGATTCTCGCAGTTTGCTCTCTTCATCTACCTGAAATCCTTGAGGGGAACATCTTGTTTGAAGAGGCGAAGATCTTTTAAAGTTCATTGGTAACATTCCATTGTTATAGCTGGAAGCTTTTACTGGATGGAATGCTGATTTTGGTGACGATCTCTGCAGTTGTTTGCTGTCTCTTATACACATCTAGATGTGTATAAGAGACAGATCATAGACTGGTACTGTATAGGTGTCTTCGTAATTCATAACGATGGTCTGATAGCTGCTGGCCTTCATGTTGATTTACTTTCTCTGGATACGATCGTATTTGGGTTGTTTGATTAAATTTTATACAAACTTTTAAATATTTTGGCACATTTAAAATTTAATTTTGAATATTACGTAATTTTTGGCTTCCATGTAAATTCTTACAAAATCTTTTCTTATTGATTATACAATTTTTGGAATATTGTGAATATAATCTATACAAGATTAATTAAAATACTGTGATTTATATTATCAAAGCAAGGTTTATCCATGTTTCATATAGTACGGAAACACAATTTAGACTTCCCACTTAGGCGAAGTTTAAAAACTGACTGGCTACTACATTTAAATACTGAAAAAAAGCCTATATCAAGTAAATGGGGGTATTGCTATTGTTTGACTTATTCTAGGTCTATAAAATCATAATGGACCCTCTCCCACCCTACTGAAACACAATTTAGACTTCCCATTAGTGAAATAAAATAAACTGACAGGTCACGATTTCATTTAAATATTTAAAAAGGTAAGGTAAGAACATATTAGAATAAACTTGAGAAATATAATAAATGCAAAAAAAAAAAAAAAAACAAAAAAAAACAAGATCCCAGCTGATCATTTGGGACCCTAGAGAATTACTTACAAAATTTAATTCTAATTACTGCCACCAACACTTATAAAAATATGAAATATTTCATTATGCAGGTGTACATAACAGACAGCTTCATTTCTTCTGTAGACACAGTTCTTAAGCATATCATAAACAGGCCTAATCCTGATTGATTCTTGTCAATCTATTAAATAACAGACTTTCCTAAGAAAAAGCTATACTTATTTATATTTTATTTTATATTTATCGGAAATGCAATATAATATCATTATTAATATTTATTGATTATCGTTATCGTTATTATTGTCATTATCATCATCATTATCGACCATCATCATTGCTATCATCATCATCATCGTAATTCATCGTCGTCGTCGTCGTCGTCGTTCTCATCATCAGCATTGCTATTGATATTAGGCCTTTGTTTAATATTTATATTAAGCTCCATGTTTTAGAATAAAATAGAGTACACAGTACATAACCTTTATTTAATATCTCTGTGATAGTCATTGACAGAGTACTATACATCTCAATAGAGGGCGGCATACAATATCGCTCTACCTGTAGAGATGATTTTGCCACAAAAATGGAAATATTTGGGAACGTCAATTAAAAATTTATTGGTGAATGTAAACAGTGTAGTAATGGGATTGATAAACCAAAGAAATTATTTTTAACTTTGGCCGGGGTAGGTCTGCAGTAAATAATCCAATTAAAATTAATGATATTGATAACAAGCTTAACTGGACGGAGAAATGCAAATCCATTTTGTATAAAGGTAAGGCGAGACTTTTTTTTTTATTCATATTGTTTTGCGAACTTATTTTTTAAAGACCGTCAGAGGCGGGCGGAAAAAAACTAAAAATAAAATTTTGTTTTCTTGTTTAGCAAATAGTTCTGTCAAAAACATCCCGACGGAGGATAGGCCTATACTGTAATAAAAATAATTTCCAAAAAACGAAAGGTCCACTGATTAATCTCAGATAAGAAAGTATAATACATACTCCAAGTATTGAAATACACGCCATCGTGTTGGGATTCAATATTTCGACATTAATTATGTCATCATCAGGAATGATGATCACCATTCCTGATGATGACATAATTAATGTCGAAATATTGAATCCCAACACGATGGCGTGTATTTCAATACTTGGAGTATGTATTATACTTTCAAAAATAATTTTATTGTCGAATTTGGAGGCATTTAATGGGCTTATTTTCGTGGTGGGGTGGGGGAGCGGGGATATACAATAGCCGGAAGGCCCTGGCGTTGTCGTTCGTTCTAGAGGTACGGTATAATAAAATAAAAACCACTAAAAGTTGTCTGCCACAGGCCTAATGTAAAAGCTGCTTATTTTGCCGCCTTACCCCCTGCACCTTTTTTTTTTTTTTTTTTATCTTATTTTTATTTTCAGGTCATATGCAAACCGTCAAGCAGCCGCAGCCTTATGTAAATTATACGTATACATGCTCTTCGTCGTCAATCCAATCCTAGGTGTGCGCGCGCCGACAGGGAGGTCCATGGTTGTCAGGGAATTCCCTTTTTCCCTTGCAGAGTCCAGATGACCCCGTGACTTCTACACGCATTTGGCGACCAATGAAGATATTGAATGAAAGCTTGTGACATATTTTATCTTGTCATAATTAAAGGAAAGCTGTACAGCGCTTGATCCTACAATTACATTTTTATATGACTTACCGTATATTGTAATCCAAAGTTGTTGATAGCCTCGTAAAGAAACTTTCTGGTGCAAAAAGCAACAGTAGGCCTACAGAGGCATTTGGAAAATATTAATTTTACTATTTTATAGACTAATAATGCTAATAACTGATTGATTGATTTCTTGATTGATTGATAATCAATGTAATCATAATACATAATAACAATATGCATTAAAAGTGATAATAATAATAATAATAATAATAATAATAAACGATAATTATTATTTTATTGATAATGATAATGATAATGATATTCTTTGCATTGGTCTATTGTGATCTTCTTGATTGCGGACGTACAACAAAGAATAATATCTCATTATCATAAATAAGGTCATCGTACACGATGCTGCTAGTGGACAGCAATCGATCGCCCGCGTGAACCATTCGGTAGTTGAATAGGCATCCGTTTATACCAGTGATAGGCCTATACCAATTCTCCGCGTATAGGCTTATATGTAGGCATACCGGTAATGTAGAATTTCATTCATTCATTCATTCATTCATTCATTCATTCATTCATTCATTCATTCATTCATTCATTCATTCATTCAATCATTCATTCATTCATTCATTCATTCATTCATTCATTCATTTCATTCATTCATTCATTCATTCATTCATTCATTTCATTCATTCATTCATTTCATTCATTCATTCATTCATTTCATTCATTCATTCATTCATTCATTTCATTCATTCATTCATTCATTCACTCACTCACTCACTCACTCACTCACTCACTCACTCACTCACTCACTCACTCGTTCGCTCGCTCGTTCGTTCGTTCGTTCGTTCGTTCATTCATTCATATATTCGTTCACTTGTCTATTTATTTATTTATTTATCATTCATCCATCCATCCATCCATCCACTAATCCATTGATTCATTGATTTACTGATTGATTCATTCTTTCATTAATTTAGAATTTCATTCATTCGGTCCCCGATTGTTCTTCATTCGTTCAGTTGTTTGTTCATTCATTCATTGTTCTTTCAAGTTAATCATATCTCATACCCATTTAAAGCTCCATGCTCGCATCTAGTAGGCCCTCCGTACACTCGTTCCATAATATTCTTTGTGTAGACCCCCGTTGGCTGCTCAGTAATTTAAACATCTTTGATATAATGTTTGTTTCAATATCTGCCCAATTGGAAGTTATCTTCATTATCATTTCAAGTGAATTATTGTTTTATTATTTAGGTTTGTTTTAAATATTTTAAGAGAGACAGTAAATATTCTCTAATTTAAAACATTTCTATCCCCAGACGAGTTTAACGAGTAATAAAAATATATGAAATTATACGAGTAATAAAAATATATGAAATTATAACTTTAAAAAACCACACGTTCTATGACAATGTATATTAATAAGTTAATCAATCATCCACGTTTTATGAGACAGTTACATTACCATGTGTTGGCATTAGTAAAAAAAAACTTGTTTCTTCTATATATAGTCCCAACATTATCGATTAAAAAAATAAGCTTAAAATGCCTTTAAAACAACTAAAATATCCCATGCTATAGTACGTTACTGTAGGAGGCAATTCGATTCGATAGAATTAAATTTGGCGGAAGTGACGTAGAAAACTATTGAAAACACAGCGGGATCCCGTCTCCGGAAGCTTGTGTGAAAGGCGCTGTTTATATATGCGCAGCTAGCTTTAAGCCTTGCTTTAAGCTCGCCCTAGCAGACGGCAGTGGCTATAGCTAAACTAAAGCGATAATAAAAGGCTGAGTTGGCGTGCAGAAGGAAGGATCGGTTTTCTGTACCAGGGTAAGAATATCTTGTTTTCGATTGTTTCTCGTTTACTTTCACACACAAAGACTTAAAATAGAGATTGATAGATGTAAATGAAATTACGTTTCGTAGGTAGAAACGTAGATTTAATCGTTGAAATGTTGTTTTCGCAGACTGGCTATCGTTTGCTTAACACGGTGCTTAGCGCCAGGCTTAATGGTGAAATCGTCCTCCAGTCGTTGTCTCTGTTAAACATGGCGTTGTTTCAGTTTTCGTGTCATTAAATGGCAATTCTTGTGGTGATTTTCCTGGCAACAGTTCATGTTATTTTCTATGATGCCTTCCTTCTTATAAATTATAAATTGAATTCATGTATCGGTGTCACCACACGTTTTTAAAACGATCACATATTTAGGCCAGTGAGTTCGAAGCTAGGCCTCTTGACAGTTGAGATACGTCGTTGAATGTGAAGTGACACTCTTTTTAATCAAGATCAAGGCATTGATTCTGTAGGAATACTATTCCCGATCAAATTTTCCAGATTTTAAACAGAGGCAAAAAGTTAAAAATATTAACAAATTTTTCTCCGATAATATGAAAACATTAAGTATTAAAATGTACATTATAATTTATATACAACTGATGATGATAAGGTCCAAGTATAGTACTAGTAGGCGAGAGTGTTTTAATTTTAATTTGAATGTATTGCAGTATTTGGTAATCTGTATGATTAACAATACTTAAAATAGTTGGAGTGGGCTTCAGCCCAATGTACTGACCAAGGTGTAAGCAAGATAAAGTTTAACACGTTGACTGCCAGACCTTGTTTTAGGTTTTTTCATATGCATACTTTTAAAAAATTTTATCTAGTCATAGGCTGTTTTATCAAAAAGGAGTTACCAATAAATTGGCGGGGAAATATTAAAGGACAAGTAAACTCATTGCTGGCATTGGAACAGCATTTTTTATTGTCTCTGCCAAGTGCGAGTTTTCTTGTCACTTTTTACATTGGTTGGTATGTGTGGCGCCCCCACAAACATACATACGTTATTTGTACATTTCGTCTATGTGTATCTTTCCCGAACTACCAGCCGTTACTCTGTGGCTCTACAATGTGTAATAAAGAAGTAATAAACACTAGAGAGTTGTTGTCTCGATGTTGATGAGTGTAGTCGTCCTTAACGCCCTCAGAAACACCCTGTGGGACGAGTATACTCGTCTCTGGCAGTGAACGTGTAAAATTTTTCAAAATTTTATGAGCATTTTCTTATACAACAACGACACATATTTATCAGTGTTGATATTAAATATTTTTATTATTTGTAGGTTTTATGAATACACAATCTGAGGAACAATATAAAACACGGAAATTTTCTGGGTAGCTGTGGATAGCATACTATGCCAGTGTCATCATCTTCATTGAATGTTACAAAAGCAAGTGTTGGGATTTTAGAAAAGCCTTCGCCATTCTGTGTACGTGAACAAACGCGTTACTCAAATAATTCGGAAGTTAGTCAGTATGCACACTGTGAAATAACCAATCACAGGGACTTGGTAGACTTAGCGACACGCAACACGCAAGACCCGATGTATGGTCGTGGTAGCACAGTGACAACAACGAGTCCAAGGACTTCTCCATCTTATCTAAGTCTTCATAGGAATAATATAGGGCTTGCAAGCCCAACTGAGTCGGGACCTACGCGTTCTCCAGGTTACGATTTACGGGAGACCAGCGCTAGAAGAAGGTCGCATCAAGGTATGTGAAATTTTTAAAAATCTAATTAGTAATTATAAGCATTTCAGAGTTGGTGTTTGAGATCTTTGGGTCCGCACAAAGCGCTGACCCCAGAGCCTCACTGCTGTTCTTGTTACCAGAACATAAAAAGCGTCCAGCATCGCCAGTTTTGAACGGATGTGCAGAAATTTTTGTACACATAAACTAGAGGTGATTTCTAACAAACGTTACGTTGGACCCCAGGGTAACCCCCACACCTACAAAAACATGGGTTTCAGCAAGGACTGTACATTACTACCATTACCACTAATAGGGCATGTCGCATGGATGGCACGGTCGGCTAAGGATGTGCTCTAAAGAACTTAAAGTTGTGCGTTCAAATCGCGTCATGGTATTCAATTTTGTTCCCCAATTTTAAGAAATTTTATTTTTTTCAATTTTAAGATACAGTACAGACAGGAATTATCGCTATATATATCTGCGCGTAACCTCTCGTATTTTGCTTGTAGGTTACGTTTTGAACGTAGCTACGAACCACTACGAAGGTCATTGTTATTTTAATTAGCTTTGCAACCTTCGTAGGCTGGATCGTCGGGCTGATAAACAATGCGTAAACAATATTGAAATATAGTTTACCGGCTTTCAACACTTAAACAATGTTGCAATTTACTAATAAACAATGTTAGAACTTATTGTTTTGTTATTTCCTACCTTATTATTAGATCGATTATGCTTTAAAACTGTGTTTAGTGTGATAGCTAGGTAACCTAGTGGGCCGTCAGTATGTTTGAATTTTGATCGGCCTATATTTTCCCATAGAGGAGGACAGCAGACAGTAATTTATACTGGTTAACTTTCCAATTTAGAGAATTTTGATCTGATATTATTGTTCTTTCTTCTTTTAAATAATAATACTGATGACAAATCATGTACAAAAATTATTATGATCTCTACTTAAAGATCACATTGTTTATTGTTTACCATAATTTGAAGCAGAACCTGCTAATCGATCCAATACTAATGGAACTATAGAAATCACTACCTTGCCAAAGTAAGGCTAGTCATGCTAAACCGCATTTTCTTCGTTTTTTACTCACTGTCGCTCACAGCTTTTCAACATTTGCCACGAGGTTAACCTTTAACACACTTTACTGTGTTCTGATTGGCGCGCACTCTGTCCGATTCTGGATTTTTGGGGTTGACAAGATGAATTGGCATTTTGCCAAGTTTTATTTTCCATTGGGTTTTCCATGTGACATTCGGTAATTTTACAATCAACGGACGTTAACTCTCTATATATTTATTATTTATCTTACTAAATCAAGACTACAAAATATTATTTGATGAACAATCTTTTCACATGTGTATATTGTCATTGAGGGCATCCTTTTTTAACAGTTAAAAGAGGTAAAATAATTATAAATAAAAAATAGGCTAGGCTAATTAATTAAAAATATAATACAGCAGTACAAATAAGTTCCTGTCGACTCGTGGACAGCAAGTGGAAGAGGAGACTCCCATGAAGTCAATTGTACGTTTTTCTTATTGAAAAACAGGTCCATACTTTAAATTAACAGTCTAAACTTGTGCTTGTCATTCACAAATTATCAAGCAATATTTGTTTATTCCAGTAAGCTACAGCAGTCTTTCTGCACATACAAATAAACAACATACTTCTGCTTCGTAGGTTCGCTTCGCGTAGCCTTGCTATTTTGTGGCGGTACTGTATCTTAATTTTGTACAAATAAACATTTTAATATATTTTTTGTACAAATAAACATTCTAATTATTTAAAATTTCTATCTTATTAGCTCTTCCAAAAAACCCAATATAGTAACTTTTGCATGTACGGTACCATATTTAAGTGTGGTGGACCGTGCAGGTGAGCGGTCACACCCTTGTTTTTTTAAAATGCTTGACAATAACCAATGATACATGGAATTTAAATCGGGAAAATTAGCTTGTTTTTAGATTACCATCCCCCCACACCTCTTTTTCCTTTTTTTATTCTCTTCTTTTTTCTCTCTTTTCGAAAGTTGAATCTGGTCCCTCGTTCCCACAGGATCTTCCCTGCTTTTAAATATAATGTGATAGCATCTGTCAACAACATACAATTTTGAACACTGCTAGTAATCTATGTTAAAAAATTCCAATTGATAATAATAGGGAGTTTTCGTAAGCGTACGATAACGAATACGGTTACGTCATCAAATTTTAGACAACCCTTTCCCTGCAGTAGCATATCTGTAACAACGTAGGCATTCATGCTTTTTGCATGAATCAAGGATCATACAACATATTGTCAAGAATGTTTTAGGCATGAATGACGCTAATGATTATGATGTATTCATTATTCTTTTCGTGAAGTTGCGAATCTCCCAAATCTCACATGCAACAACACCAATTACAGTACAATGTTACGATGTTAAAATATATTTAAGGATAATTTACAATTTGTTTAATAAGCATTGAACATTTTTTGATGATTATTTTGAACTTATATATTTATTAAATAAGTTTTATATAAGTTTTATTAATCAATAATAATAATATTTCATATCTTTTTTATTAATATGTTTTACATATAAAATATCATTTATTTTACCAGTAAAACAATAAAAAAAAAGTATGGCTGGCTGGTCAAATTGCCCAAAAGCAACACAAAGCTACTGTCACGGGGCTCTTCTTGCAGCAAATAAAGAACATTAAATACATTCGAGTAGAAGATTTACAATATAATAAATGACTATTACTTTTTAGCAATATGTGTTCTATTCAATTGATGATTCAGCCTTTGGTATCCATGGAAAATTGAGGCACATAGGGAGCCAATATCATGGGATGTTCTATTATGAACATTGACAACAAGAATTTTACTCAGTACATTCCATTGTACATTATAATCAGAATACCAGAATACATTGTATAGTTACTGGTTACTGGTTACAGTCAACTTACTATTCTCAATGTGCAGAACTACTCCCTCTTCCATATTGAAAATAATCCTTAGTAAACAGAGGTAACCAAATTACACAACACAGTATTGCTTTGGGCTTCCAATGAATAGATTGATGGTTTGAGGTCGAGGCTGGCGACTTGTTGGTGTCATTCTGCAAGCCATTTTAAAACTATTGTACATTGTTCCTTTTACCAAGAACAAGTAAAATGGACACCACGCAATACCCCCTCTCTTGATGTCATGTTTAACTGCAAGTGTTCCACCAACCACTATTCAATACCATACTACTTAAGGTCAACAATCATTAATACATTGTACAGAAAATAATTGTGAGGTACTGTATTCTACATATTAATTTCTAAATTAAATTGATTAAACTGATTTAATCAACTATGTTCAGTGGGGATTTCTAAATAATTAGTGTTTCCTGACCCAGAGATGGTTTGCAGAGGGATGTTTGGTTTGGTAATTTGCTAAAACCAGTGTGCAGTATTTAGTTGGTTTTAATAACAACAAATATATTGCAGAAGAAAATAAATTCATTCAAATTTTATATTGCAATTGATTTGAATTTAATGAAATTAATTTAATTTAAGATATGTTTTGTATGATGTAGTACTGTACTTTCTGTTCAGTTTAATTTTGAATTAGAATGATAATTGTACACCGAACGTTACATGTTTGTACTCTGTCTGGAAGCCTTACAGCTGCTTTCTGATTTAAAATTAACATTTGCAGTGCGCCAGTATTTTTCTGAAATTATGCTCATGACGCAGCGACAAATGTTTCTGTAACTTCGTTTTTCATGAAGATTTAATAAATGAAATTCCCACAGGATTGGACCATAGAGTGCTTGTTTACAAGCTTCACAACCCCCTACAGAGCGATAACTCCCTTGTAAGGATATTAAGGGTATTGCTAAACCCCGCAAACCTAAAAAAAAACAGTGCAAACCCCATCCAAACCTTGTGATAGTGATTGAATCATGTAGTGTAGGACTCACTTGGTATCTCGGTACCCGATATTAATGCCTCTATCTCAAACACATTGTCTGGTTCCTTTAGCCATTGTTGGACATGATATCGTACTTACTTACATTGTACTGTCACTGGTCTTTTAAGTTCTACCAAAAATATACTCTTTTCCATCATTGACTGGTTTTGATAGAATTAGTTTACTGCTGCTTTGTCGCTGAGAGCAAACTTTTTATAACTTGTATCCCAGTGTGGACTTCGAGTATTCCCCAAGTCAGAGGAAACCTGGAACTCGTCAGGGGCATTTCCCTTTTCAGGTCATACCGCACAACGCATCTGCTGATTAAGTATGAGTTGTTACAAACATACGATGAACACTTACCGATAAATCGAGCTTTGAATACGGTAGTTAACGTCTTTGTTATAATGATAGAGGATGCATTCATTTTCTTATTGGTGGGAGCAGTATTGAAAAGTTTCCTTGCATTTAAATTGGAAAATCAAGTCCTATTGATTCTTTTTGAGTTTTTGGAGGATAAAAAATTTGTTGAACATTGTATTATTTAACCTCTCCTGTGGTCTCATCATTTTCCTCATCTCATTGTGAGGGAGGGTGAATGCATATGAAAGCTATACATACTGTGAGTGTACAGTTTATCTATTTAATACAGTATGTTTCATGTAGACTTAATTTATGTTCATCCTGCTTGTAAATTTCTGATAAACATGGTACAGTATTTCTAACATAGGCACACCTGTGACACCCCTGTTGTTTTACATAGTGTGGACTACTGTATGCAGATAAACTTGAATATTGAATTTGTATAAATGTTCAAGATGCGTCTTCCTTTCGACTGATTTAATTCCCGTTGGATTTCAAATCATTTTAAACAAAATATGATAAGTCATCGAGAAGGTGAAAAGGGGCTAGTTGATTCATAGAAAAAGTCTGCCAGTTGTGTTGAAATTGGGTCATAACATAAGAATAAATTATAAAATTAGTTTTGACTTTTTTTCTAAAACAAGTAGTTCATAGTTACTGTTCAACTGAACATGTGGTTGTTCCAATATAGTACTGTGAGAACAAG